GATCGGTTTTCAAAGGGTAGTGTAAATGGGGTAATAATCACGGTGCTGATTACAGTTTTTTTTTGTCTTTAAATCACTTACAAGGAATCACACCAAAAGCAAAAATACCAGATTAAATTTACTGTAAAATGGATTACGGAATAAATAGATGGAAATTAAAAAAAATCTTCCCATGCAAGTTTTTTTATTCTTTTCTTTTATTAGTCTTGGTGTTCATGTAATGAGAAAAACCGTGAGCCTCTAATCTGTTGATGTGTTTTCCAGCAGGTGAGGAGGCCGCCCTCTCTCCAGCCAAGCTGGGTAATGCAGACCCCTCCAAGCTGTTGGCCTCGTCTCCCTCCGTCAGCCCGTCCAGAGGATGGATCCCGTCTCCCAGCCATGACCCTCAGTGGTACCCCAGCGACTCCTCTGACTCCACGCTGGGATGCCTCCTTTGTACGTCTGTTTTTAGTAAACTTTTTCCTCATCTGGTCATAATTTAGAGTTAATCTAATTGAATTCTTTTCAGAAAAGCTTGAGCTTTTTGCATAAGAGAGAATAAAACCTGACAAGCTGTATTAGAAAAACAAACCTTTGAATGCAAATCCTCTTATTTGCTTTCCTGACTGTTCATTGATTCCTCTGCTTTTTTTTTTACCCTTTCAGCTAGTATGGTTTCCCCTGATAAGAGCAGGCGTACCGCCCTCACCCCCTCCGGCCCCTCGAGCGGCACAGCCCTGCTCGGCCCTAGTCTCCTGGACTGCAATTCCCATGACTCCTTCCAATCCCGTGGCCTTCCTGATGTGGCGGAGGTAAATCTGCACCTTAATTTGAGAAAAGCAATGTTCCTCATCTCGTTTCCTTATTCATACATCCTCAGTTCCTCTCTCCAAGCTATCATCTCACATCTCAGTGTGAGAAAAGATGGTGGCATCCAGCAGGACAGAAGTGACTCATCACTGTTTAGTGTTAAACGCTAAGTGATAGTTTTAGACTTGAATGTTGCTAGGCAGACTCTATCTAATAGGAGATGTTTATGCAAAAATTGGGCTTAAATGTAAGTCAAACAAAGTTGCTGCAGAGGTAACCCCAAAGATCTAAGGCTGTATTTGCATCTAACTCTAGAATATTAAATAGTTTGGTTAGTGTGATCTTTATTAAGAACAGAAGGGCTTTTTTAAATAACTAAAATGCCTCCTCTACGCTTCTTAGTAAAATGTTTTGATGTTGTCATGGTTTGGTTTGCAGATGGACTCTCAGCTTGTCTGCATGATGAGTGAGAGCAGCGTGGACTATATCGCTCGCTTCAATGACCTGGCTCAGGAGCTGGCCGTCACAGAGCCCTCCATCCCTCCTCCGTGAGGAACAGAGCCATCTGGAGGACACAAATCACTTTGCCTCCTCTTTGGATGAAAGCTTGGTCTCACCATCAAAGCCATCCCTGCCCTGGAGTATAAGTGCAATAATAACGGTGAAACCTGAGCTTTGGTTTCCCCTGAACTCTTCTTTAAAATAAAAAGAAAAAAACACCCTTTAAAATCAACACTTTAGAGGAATTAACGTGTTTACAAAACACCACCTCATGTACATGATAAATACTATGCCATATCTGAACAAAAGGTTTTCACCAGTCATGTCTCATCCTTTCCTGTATGTCTGTGTTGTTTTGTTTCTACTCTTATATCAGACCCGTAAAATGTGGAAATCCAGCAAAATGTGCAAAACCTGACCTTAAAAGTGGTTAATTTATGTTTTTTAACAAATGGCAGCGAGTAACTGGCTAATTAAGATGAGGTACTCGCTATAATGAAGTTGTAATGTAAAAACCAGCGACAGCATCTTCTCATTGTGCCCACATTTCAGGCGTTATTCATCTCATATCGGTCCCAGTATTTTTGGGTGAGATTCAACAGTGCTCCCTTTGAGCTCCTTTTGTTTTCTTACAGCCACTCACCAAATGGCAGCTTAACAATTAACTCTGCTGAAGTGATATTTTTGTAGCTACTGGCTTGAAATTACACAAAAAAACAACAACATTCATTTCAATAGGATCATTTAAAAAGGCAGTTTTATTTTGGAAGTTGGCCGAAAAGTCAATTTTGGCTTCTTTCTTAACCAAACGCTTGTTTTTCGTGTGTTTTTTTTCCAGCTCTGGAATAGTTTTTAATCATCAAATACTTATCTTAACTCCAACATGCTCCTCTTTTGGCTATGATTACTTTAGTTGTTATTTTCCCTATTATTTCAGATTGTTTTCTGCAGTTAGTTTAAGCGTAAAGTGTAAAGGCGTGCAGTCAGAAGAATGTAACTGGATCAAACACTAAAGCCATACTAGCTTTTTAGCTTAACAACTCCCTTAAGATCAACCCCCCTCTGACTGTTATTAAAAACACTATTGCTAACATTAATATGATTGGCTCTTGAACGTCTTCGTCCCTTAGCATTATGTCATTCTGGTTAAAATAACAGCTTCCTCTATCTGTGCAGTTTCCACATACAGTTTTTGCAACATGCATCCTGCTGTTAGCCCAGACTGGGTGCAATCAGGGTTCATACATGCCGTAGTCTTGTCCACAGCATCATTCTACATTAAGAGTGTAAACTACAGGACGGCTTTTTACTATCATTCCACAAAAAGTAATTCAGAATGCTTTGCTTTTCTATTAGCTCATCAGTAGCTTTGACGTCACAAAATGTAAAAGCTCTGACGTGTGAGATATCTTAGCAGTTTCATTTTGTGACACTAGAGTCTATATAAGGAATAAGAGGCAGGTTTTATATTTTATTCTGAAAGGTTTTTGTTGTTTTTTTCTGTTGAAGGATTTGTACAAATGTCAATTCCAAAATTCTCTACGCTTGTGTAACATAATGTAAAATTGATATTTGGACTATTTATTAACATTTCTTAAAGTGTTTTTTTTTTCTGTTTAACTTAATATTAAGGTGGCATCTTAAAAGGATAAACCTGTTTTAAGTTTTGTAAGAGCTGGTTTTATTACATGTATAAAGATAGATGCAACGTCTTGTTTTTTCTTGTCTTTATTGTGTGTCATTTTGATGGCAGCGCAGATATGGGATGGTTTCAATCAGAAGACTACACCAAGACATTAAAAATGGCCCAGAATGTAGCTGGTCTTTGCAGAGCTTCCATTTGCACTTGTCAATATGCATCACAGGGTGTTCCCTGACTGTTCTGAGCAGGCATAAATCATGCAGTAGGATAAAGGTAACAGCATAACTACACCAGTACATCGTGTCTTTTCAACTGAAGCAAACATCTATAGCAGGGGTGTTCAAGTCCAGTCCTCGAGAGCTACTATCCTGCAACTTTTTGATGAAACCATTTTTAACACACCTGAATCAAATTTGTGGCTCGTTACCACACCTCTGCTGAGCTAAATGAGGGGATTGAGGCTTTAGATTCAGGTGTGCTAGAGAAGAGAAGCATCTAAAAGTTACAGGATGGTAGCTCTTCAGGACTGGACTTGAGCACCCCTGATCTACAGTAACTGACAGGTTTTAGATATGGAGACCCATATGAGATTCTGTGTACAAAGGGCTCAAGCACACACCTCCAAATTGCATAAGAGGCTAGTTGTTGGCAGGTTAAATGATGTCTTGAGATTTATATGCTGCAGCCTGACTGCAGTCAAAAGGCCTGGAAGCAGGGTGTGCAGGTGGAGCAGTGCTTATCGCGCATGACCCATGTATGGAGACCTTAGTCCTCAACTTGGGTCACCCGGGTTCGATTCCAACCTGTGGTCCTTTACCGCATGTCTCTCCCCCTCTCTTATTCCACCTTTCCTGTCAGCCTACTGTCCATAAAAATGAGCCACTAGTGCAGTAAAAAAAAAACTCAAGGCCTGGAAGCATATTTAGCATGAAAGGTTATAAAAAAAACAAACAAACCAAAAAAATACATCAGGATTTAGAGCCCGAATATAAAAAGCTTTGCCACAAGATTTCATTGGTTAAAGATGGCAGGCCTTAATCCAATGTAAAGCTGTGAGGGAGACCCGAAAACACCAAAAAAAAAATATATATATATTAAGAGTTTAAACTTAATATAGAAAAAAGAAAAAAACAATCACATTGTTTAGATAGATCAATTATTAGTATCTGTATTTTAATTGGTAGAATAAACATTTTATATCATTTTAGAAAGGCAGTCAAAATGACTCCATTGAAAATGATTTCTAGTTTGAAAACACAAAGTTTTTAATAACTCCTTGCTGTTTCTTAAGCAATACAACTTGGTAAGTCAACAGCAATCCGCCGGATGAGGGGGGAGTGGTGATACTGTGAATATGAAAGGTGTGGAATATGGAGCGACTGTTGCAGAAACACCAAGTAGGACATTGCTCTTAAAATTAATATTTTTCACAAAACTAAACGACAGACTTGCTCAACTGGTCAGACCCAGAACATTTTAACAGGAGTCACACATTATTTAATAACATGCTGCTTTCTCCCAGAACTGGGTCCAGCATTACCACAGAGCTCAGTGTGTCCACATTTCAAATCCATCCAGTGTCCTGGTCGGGTTTGACTTATTCCAACACAGTCTCCGTTCTGCTGCTGCGGTTTCACTCTTCTTTACGTCTCTGTTCTTTGCGAGCCCGAGACGCCATGAGTTTAAAGAAGAGAGCGGGCCACAGTGTGCGGAGGTAGATGGCCACGGTGGGCACAGGTCCGGCCAGGACTACGTCTCTGCTTTTCTGACGGACGGCCTTCAGAACCGCGCCGGCGACATCCCTGGGTTCCCAACCTGACGCTGTGGTTTTATCCAGAACTGCCAAGACACATAAATAGAGAGTTTAAGTGCAACTAAAACAGGAAACAGTCAAAAGACTGGCTTTGAAGTTCCCATTAAACCATTTGAAAGCCTCATCACAAGAGGTTTTTTCATGTTGAATATATTCCTCCCTCTAATAAGGTACAGTTTGCTCTTTTTATGCCTCACCTCCATATTTGGAGCCATCTCCAGTGACAGCATTGAGTGACAGGTTGGTCCGGATGTACCCGGGGCTGATCACCGTCACCGGGATCCCAAGGTGCTCGATTTCTGCCCGCAGGCAGTCAAAATAGGCCTGAGTGGCATGTTTAGATGCTGCATCTGGTCATTATAAAAAAAGAAGAAAATTAGTGATGCTTTACTTAAAAAAGTTCTGAAGGAGAATTTAAAACAGGCAACTTACAAGCAGATCTATAAGGAATGGCTATCTTTCCCTGGACGCTGCTGATGACAACAATGTGACCGCTGCGTCTCTGAACCATGGAGGGCAGGAGAGCTGAGAGGGAAGCAACAATCACATTTAATGAAATTTAAATGATATGATGGACCAAAAACGTACAAAAAAAAGGGAATTTTTTAAATCTGAAGTTGATTGAAAAAAGGGCATCAAATTGAGTCAATAAAAGCAATTTAATTGGCAAAAAAGAGGTGGGAGGGGCTGATGAGAGGAGCTGAATGCAGCAGGGAATTCCTTAAAAAAGAAATTCTTTAGGCTTCCAGCAGGACCACAACACTAATCCTAAAGACAGAACCAATGGCATGGTTCAGGTCAAAACAACTAAATAAATGATCACATTGCAGTTATGATTTATCTAAATGTAAATAACATCCATATTCCTCTATGATCTGTTGCCGACCAATAAACATAACAATGACAGGGACATGAACTCCTTACCAACCTTGAGTGAGAGCGATGGGGCCAAAGTAATTGGTTTCCATCACATCTCTTTGAACAGACATGTTGGTGTCCAGAATGTTGCCACGATAACTGATTCCTGCGTTATTGATGAGGACATCAATGTGTCCATAACATTTTAGGATCTCTTGTGCAGCTTTTTCCACGCAGTCCGCTTTGGCCAGGTTGAAAACAACAGTTCTGGGAGCAAAGGTCTGTTGGGTGAAGAAAATGAAGACAATAAATCCAATCAAGTTATTCCCTTCTAGAAAAACCCTGAAAGTAACGCACCTGGCTCTGACCATCTGCTGGGCTTACACTGAGCTCCTGTACCACCTCCTGCAGGCGAGCTGCATCTCTTCCACATAACACAAGCCGAGCTCCTGCAGCGTGGAAGACTCGTGCACACTCTACATAAAAAAATCAATTGGTAGGAGACTGTACTTATCATTTCAATGGAAACTAATAGTGACGGACCAACCTTTTCCAAGCCCAGAACTGGCTCCTGTGATGACCACCACTGCACCATGAACTGAAGCCCCCCGTCTGAGTCGGACTAGTATGCGGTAAAGCAGCAAGACGCCCACACTTGTTAAAACCAAGGGAAGCATTCCTCCACCCATGATGCGCTCCATGGCGGACTCTTTCTGCTCCTCACAAAATATCTGCAGTCACAAACCAGCATCATTTGTAGGTTTTTTCCAACAGTAACCATCAGGGCATTAAGGGAAACCACATGTTACAGCAGAGATTTAAATGAATTAGTCAATAAGCTACACAGGAAACAGATTTTCTTTAGTAACAAGAACTATTCATACAGTGCAAAAAGTTTATAAAGAATTATTCAAGGTCATAAAGGTCTCAATGCCTCAAGTCAAAGCCACTCAGAATGTGTCGTGGTGGCGCGTACCCTGAGCGTCTGTAGCATAAGTCTCCAAAAAACTAACTTATCCAATTCCTTTGCAGTTCCATCTGGGTAAATCCTGGAGAATGTCAATATATCTAAGAAAATATCCACTTTATGAAGAAATAAACATTCCTGCTTATTGCCATTCAGAAGCAAGCTCTGCACCGGTGGTAACCCGGAATTCTCTGCCCCTCCAGCTGGTCTTTTCTGGGCATTAAATCCTTCTTTTTCCTTCTTCATGACTGATATTCACAGCAACATCCTGTCGGTCTCTGATGCCTTTTTGATGCATAACAACAAGCATGGTTCAGACAAAGGAATGATAGCAGCACTATTTAAATAAACAAAAACATTCTTCACTACTTATACAATGTAATCATGTAAGCTGCCCTTAGCTCATCACCACTTTCATTTAACTTTTCATTTATTTC